TAACAAAAACGTTCCTTTACATTTTTTTATTTAGCTTTCCTCCAAATTTGGGTTGTAAAAACGTATAGATTGTGCCATAAAATACTTGTTATTCCATGCAGTCTAGTTGTGTTATCGTATGCCTATCCTAAATATAATATATAACATATCTATTTTGTTAGTATTATATCACAATGTTTGGCTTTCTGGTATAATAATATTTGGGGTTCCAATTATAGTGATTGACAGCTGCCGATGGCGTCGGCGCAATATTCAAGTTGGAGCACACTCAAATCCGCAGCCGTGATCTGAGACAATTGAAAAATAACGGTTTTAAAGCTCTTCAAAACTCAGACAGGCGACTTCCAACATACTAAAGGCAAATGGACCGGATAAATATTAAATTAAGACGCACATCAACACTAATAGTTAACAAGAATTACCATTTGACCGCAGACGGACCTAAAGGTGCTTATAAGTCGGAGAAACAAGTACAAATTGATTAAAATATTTTGAACTTAGATCTTATGTAATAGGCCATTTTAATTATTTTAAACCCAAATACATATAACTCGCGCACGTGATCAATTTGAATTATAATTGATAAGGGTACATCGATACCGCATTACGAACAGAAAATTGGTAAACAACAAAATGGCGCAGAATACGCGAAACTCTTACGTCTGCTTTGCAGAAACAGTCATCGGCAATAACTTTCCTTTACTCATATACTATAATGACAGGAATAACTACATTGTATTAAAACAAATGTTTTGATCACACAAGGTTTGTAGCTTCATCTATATGTAACAATGCGTTTAAGTAAGTATCCATGCACGTAATGGAATATTATTTAAGACATGAATAGCTTAAACATTATGTATTCAAAATTATTATATTAATACTAGCTGACCGGCAAACGTTGTTTCGCCATATAAATCATTTGTAGGGTAGAAAATATGTTTAGGGTGGAGCAGCCTTAATATTTAGGGGGAAGAAAAATAGATTTTTTTATGTACATAAGAAAAACACATAAAAAACCTTACTAATGACACTAATATAAGAATAACGGGTAATAGTAATTGGCGAGTACCTAGTACCTAGCGAATACCTACCTAAAAGTTTTTTGTGTAATCGGTGATAGACACTATGTTCTCTCCTTTTGTATCATTTAAATTTTGTATTGCATTGTTGATTTATTAGTTTAAATTTTAACTAGACAGTGATTACATTAAGCTCGCTTCTTTTATCTGACTAAAGACTGTATTTAGAAACTATTAATGGATAAACAATGCTATGAATCACAAACAACTGTCGGGTGTCACAGGTCACTGAAACCTAAAGGAAGTCTATGTTTTTTTTTAACCGACTGCAAAAGCAGGAGGTTGCTCAATACGACCGTATACAGCGTGTCGTTACCACCGCGACAATAAATGAAAATACATATAGATGATAACTTTTTAAAATTGTATTAAACATTTACATTCTTTAAACATCAATATTTACCGAGTTATTAAAATTTCCAAAACAAACAATTTTAGAACACCCCTACGTATAAAACTGTAACGTTAAGTTCATTTGTAAAGGTCACAAAGCATATGAATGGGTTAAATGAATTTAAAAGAGACAAAACATACTGTTAGAAGGAGAGGCTTTGTAATGCGACGCTGTGGCGCGAGTTGTATAGGATGTTACAAATTTTGTTTCTTCTTTACTTAATTAGTTTGTTTGAAAAAAAATTTTTTTTAATTATGGACTTTGTTAAAAGTTAATTTTTTTATGATTATTGGCAAGTAGCGTTAGACGTGTGTTCATGTATTGTCGCGATGGTAACGACATTCTGTATATGTATATATTTTTTTTTATGTTCGTGGTTAACTTCGTAGTTTATGAACCGATCTTGATGATTATTTTTTTGTTGGAAAGGAGATATCCTAAGATTGGTAGCATGATAAGGAAACCTCGATCTAAAGATGGCAATCCAGAGAAATCGAGGGCAATCCGCAAATGTCGTAGGTATTAAGAATGTTTTTAGTTTCCTGGTTGAAGTCGGTTTTTTTTTTGTTAAAAACTATTATTACTCCACTAAGTGGATACTTATTATTCATTTGCAGGAAAACGGTTTTTTAACAACTCTTGACAGTAGCTATTTCGTAAATGATAACAATCAGTGGTTGCATTTTAAATGTAAGGGAAATTAAAAACTAATTCGTGTAAGAAAGTAAATCAGGTGTGTGTTTTTATTCATGTTGAGGGTCATCAAGGCGGTTCGCTTGATGAGGACACCAGAGGGCTTGTATATGCTTGACAAAATTCAGAAAAAGCTTTACCTCACTTACCAGACGAAACGCGCAAATATACTTACAATATCCTTACTAATACTAATATTATAAAGGCGAAAGTTTGTATGTATGGATGGAGGTTTGTTACTCTTTCCGGAAAATACTACTGATTGGATATTAATGAAAATTTAAAATAATATAGCTTATACACCAGAATAAGACACAGACTATAATTTATATACATATTTTTATGTATATCTGTTTTTCCGTCTGAATGTTACATCTTCAGCCTATTCTACGCAGACGTAGTCGCGGGCAGCAGCTAGTACTTAAAAAAATCAACTATACAAAAATTAAAACGCCAAATCATATGAATCATCTCATATTGTGCTATAAAAAATATAAATGATATAAATTCGCTGGTCCTCTGATGCCGTGTTACATCCCCGGACGAGCCAGCCTACTCGCAGCTGCAGTACCTGCAACAGCAGACTGCAGAAGCTGTTGCGGGGCCCCAATCAGGGCCGAATTTAGGGAAGGGCAACCGGGGCTACGGCCCCGGGACTTCCACTAGAGGCCCCCACAATAGACTAGTAATTAACTTATCATTTCATATTTATACTTGGTTTGAGAATAAATTATTTATTGGAAACGTCGAGTGAAAAAAATTGTTCATATCATTTGGGAAATAATTTGGGGCCCAAAGGCCTCCACTCCCGTGGCCTCCAGACTTCTAAATTCAGCCCTGGCCCAAACACAGTTAAACGTTTTAAACATTTGTTTTGTAATCATGTTCACCTACGCTTTTTTCATGACAGAGTCATTATGCCTAAAGCGTACAAAGAAGTTGTGTTTTGTGTGTTGGTTAAACTTAAAAATTCAAGGGCGTCATCAATTTGCTTATGTGAACAGCATAGTTGCCATCTATCAGACATACTCTTAAACGACTTACTCCACAAGAACCCAAACTAGACAATTAACGTGATTTGTAGTAATTTTGTTAGATGGCGCTTATATACATTGTTATTTCCAAAGACTGAAAATTTTTATATAAAATATTATTAATGAAATAAACAGCACTTCACTATTTTTGGATTGAAAACTTCTTAAACAGGCGGTGGGTGATTTTGCAAGGGAAAGTTTTATGTCTTCCCGTCATCGACATGGCAAATGGACAGTATATTCGTAGATATGAGATGGGTAGGACATGTCATGCTTAGCCAATAAGTTGTGTAAATATACCATATATATGAAGGCTAGGTTCTCTTGAAATAGTTTTATCCCGTACCGTGACCTGTAACTTAAATTTAAAAATAATAAGAATTATTGAAACGCAATGTGCGTTATTCTTTTTCTTAATTATCTTTATGTATTAATTCTCAAAGGAGTATTTTGTCGGTACGCCATTACTTCCAAAACCTTTCCTGAAATTTATTGAGTCAAACACCATTTCTTAAAGTTATGTTCGCCATTATTAATGAAACAAATTGAATAAGGTAAGCACCGAGGGCTCACAAATGCGTTGCCGGCCTTTCAAGAAAGAGTATGCTCTCTTCTTGAAGGTTCCCAGGTCGTAACGGTTCGGAAAGACCGCCGGCGGCAGTTGGTTCCACAGAGTAGTTGTGCGAGTCAAGAAATGCCTTGAAAATTGCGCAGTTGAATTGATGAAATTTTTGGTTCTGGCGCAATGAAATTCAACCGCCGGGATCAATCCAAATGTTTCCTCGGAATACTCAATAACCCTAGCCGCCTTACGTTGAATGCGGTCAAGTGGAAGAAGCTGGTAATAGGGGGCTCCCGCCCAGAGGTGAGAACAGTACTCCATGTGGGGCCGAATTTAGCCTTATAGAGGTTAAGGCGTTGAGCAGCCGTGAAGTACTATCTCGCCTTGCAGAGCACACCAAGCTTCTTTGAGGCCAATTTGGCCTTACCTTCCAATTGACCGTGGAACTGGACGTTGCTTGAGATTTCGACGCCAAGCATTCCGATACTAGCCTTTCGCCTTTATAATATTAGTAATGATGTAGATTGTTAATTCGTTAATTCGTTTTGACACTGAACATGTAATAAAATATCCTTTCTTTGATAATGTATGGGTCTATCGTAGAACTAGTTTTTGCTACTTGAAATATTAGTCGAAGATGTGACATTAAGAAAGATATGATGGCATTAATATGGGTAATGTATACTTTTTTAACAACTTGAAAATACGGGAAAACCTTTGCATCAATTTGATATTTTTAATTTTATCATACAAGATGCTTTTGCCATTTTCATTGATTAATAAACCATTTAATAAACTTGCCAAGTTAAGAGTCGAAGATCATTGTTTTTTTTAAGTCTTTTGCCATTATTTTTTGTATGAACGTTATTAATTACTCAAGACGTTTTCAGCCAACAGAATGGCCGGTACTGGGTTGTTCTTATCTACCAATAAGAAGGAATAAAACTCTAAGCAGTACTTTAATTAGATTTTATATTTTACAAAACGAATTCAAAGAATGATTCATTTGCGTGTTGGCCTGGGCCGAACTAGAAAATCGCGGCTGTAAAGCAATAAATCAGTCTTTCTATTAAAGAACCTTGCAGTATTTTTAATGAAAATAAAACATGTTAAAATAAAACTTGATTAGTCAAATTCAAATTCATACTTAATCAGCTAAATGAACCTGTTAGGTGTTACATATGGAGAGGCGGCTACTTGTCTAATGTCTCTACGCTCCTATTCTTAAACGTTTAGAAGTGTTGCGGGCTCTTCACTAATGTGTTTATCTTCGCATAGCGCACCACGGAGGTGTTGGGTATTGGCACCGGGATCAGCGATAGGTTACTGTTCAGGGTCAATAGAGGTGGAAGGGCGAGAGACTGTACTCCGGTCCCTGGTGGAACCACCGCGGCTCCCTTGACCAATTTCACGGGCACACTAGCGACCTCTCGCTTGAATTTCATCGCTTGATTTGCGTCGCTTCGTGTTGGGTCCGCTGCGAAAGAATAAAATCGTTGATATTAACTGAAGAATAAATAAATGAATATAATATAAACGAGATAATTTTAATGGTGTAGAGGAAATTACCTCGTTTATTTTTATCTTTGAGATGAATTCTCAAATACAAACAAATGCAGTAACACATCAGAAATGTTATAAAAAAGTATACATATATACGTAAATGCAAGAATATTTGGTTAATAAATAGAAGAGTTATTAATTTAATAAATCATCACACCTTTTAAGTAACTATCAAAAAACTCTGCAAATTTCGCAAATATAAATATTTGCAAAATCATTGCATGCCTGAAAAGAAAAACGCCTAACAAAATATATTAGCAAAATTTTACCATATAAAATAATGAAGCGTAAAATTACCAGGCGCCTTTTGTTGTTGCACAGAGGCTAATTTCTCAAGAGCAGTCCAGGGTACTAAATCATTTGTGTGGTTCACATCTTGGATTGGGGCAACCCCGACTATACTCTGAGCAGTCACATTTGTCAGCAAAGGGTTGTGTATGCCACTCAAATCGACCGCTGATCCATTGCGGTGGAAAAAAGTGATGGACTCTTGATTACCCCTGATATATTAAGAAAATGTTTGGTTATATCATTGGATTAACATAATTGTTACTCCCAATTGAGATCAAGCGAACAGTTCAAATCGTCTAAGCTTCCATAGAGCACAGTGCGTGTTGAAAATACAATCAAAAGTTGTAGTTTGAAGTTTAGCAGTTAAAAAGTCAGGGCGAAATTCCGGAAGACTTGGGTTCGATTCCCGCTGCGGCAGAAAGCTTTACGCCCTTTTTCTACAAATTTTAATGTTTCGTCTTAAGGGCAGGGACTAGGGACATAGAAACCGGTTATAAAATTTAAATTTTAACACTGCTTAAATTATTAGAATAAGTAGACCAACTAAACAGTCAGTGTCCCTGATTGAGTGCAAGCTTTTAACTTCAATTTGTAAAGTAAGACTATATTCTTCTTCTTTCTCCTGCCATTATTCCACCTAGGTGGGTTCGACACAACAAGTGAATAATGTTGTGAATGGCCAGCATTTTGATTTCTCGTTTTTACGCGAATATTACACATTGTGAAATGAAAAATTTTTAGGGATTATTTAATTATTCATTTTTATTCCGATCTACGCATAAAGGAAAGCTTTGAACTGTAATTTTCTGCAGAAGAATAACCATAATCTTTTGACGTTGCGGGATTCTAACCTCTTCTGGTTTCGCGGCCAGACGCTTTACCAACTAAGCTAAGCGGCCAAGCGGAAATCTTAACATGTATCTACGTTCGTTCTATTGCATTTTTAGCTCAATTTTGCGTAGATCGGAAAATCGGAACAAAATTGAAAAATCTAATGAAACATGATTAAATCCGTAAAACAGTTTCATTTCACAATGGCTACGGTTTTCACGACCGGTCCTCTGCCTGACATCAAAAATACTCGGCGACAAGCATCCATACTCGGAACAACTAACTGTGGGTCATACAAATACTTGTCCCGTGTGAGAATCGCACTCAGGGCCACATAAGCGGAGGCAATGTCTTAGTGAGTGCGCCACAGAATACGCAATTCATAACACAAGGAGTTTGAGGAGACATTTACATTCTTTATGTTTCAAAGAGATAGCATTTAAGCCAGTGGTTAACCTGATCTTGGCTGAGGGCATCTATGACAGGTATTTAAGCCGCGTTGGCTACAGACCACTACCACACTTTGGCAAGCTAATATAAGGCCATTTCACCGCCGCGGTAATAAATAAACGAAGGGAATATTTTGACGAGACTATCTCGTTGAGGTTTGCTGTGGCTGCACGAATGCGGGGCTCGTCCGGGAAAGTACCGCGGCCTCACGGAAGACCGGCGCGGAGTGGAAGCAGTGAGGTAACTGGAGCCCACATTTTTAACGTTCTACACGAGTCTACAACTCCTATCCTAGGGTGCGGTATGTGTACTGTTATCAAAACTCGTGAACCGTCTGCTCGCTCAAGTCTTCGCATGAATAAATTAAGAGCCCCTTATAGAGTGGGATGTCCAATGATATTGAATACAAATACGAGGTAGATGTGGCACTAGCGCGCCTAAACTGGGGCACACAAATTACTCCAATTGGTGTAATTGTTTTGCAACTCTTTGCGTATCACACGTTCTATATCATCTGTAACATTCGCATAAATACGTCGTATAAAACGGAACAATTTTTCAAACGCCACAGTGTGGACATGGGCCGTCTTTATTAAAACGGGTGTGTCCATGTGTTCGATTTCTCTCCCAGAGGCTGTTAAAAGTCGACTGTCAGAACGTGTTAGAGTTAATGGCGGCGGGAGCATAAGGAGCGTATATTTTTCCATCCTCTAGTGCGGGATTCTCGAGTGGCTCACCCACCACCGTCGGCTCTCTCCGGCTTACGTACGGAGCCTCGTTATCCAATTGGCGGGGCGACAATTTATTCATATCGAATTACGCCCGCCGATTGAACGATTCATCTCGGCAGAGCGAATGCCTCTGGTTCCATTCACTGATCGTTAAATTGACGCATCTTTTGTGACCCGAGAGTGCTGTCCACTAATTTCTAAGCCCGTTCACGCGCACGTCGCCGAGACTGTTGACAACATTTGCGACATTCTTTAGCACTACATAGTACGAAACAAAGTCGTCCCGATGTCTGTCTATCCGTATGTATGCTTAGATCTTTAAAACTACGCAAGGATCTTGATGCGGTTTTCTTTACTAGATAGAGTGATTAAGGAGGAAGGTTTATATGTATAATATATTGCACCCGTGCGAAGCCTATAAACGCCGGCGGCTTCCAACTCACACTGGACAGACTTGCTTAAGTTATTCTGTTTCACTGGTCGTTTATTCTGGTGAGTGAGGCGCACGGGGTCCAATTTATTGAATACCGAATTCTAAAACCCCATGGGTGTTGCAGAAGTCGCCATGTTGCAGAAGATGTCCATGTTACTACTTATCGTGCATCTGCAACCATACGTGTGTTGGAGATACCCATGGGCGGCGGTTGACACTCATCGTCAGGTGAACCGTCAGCTCGGTAGCCGTCTTTTCAATAAAAAGGGACAGATGACGAGCCCCTCGCGTTAGACAGAGATGTAACTCTTATTTTTTTTATTTGAAAATTACCATTTTTATTTACAATAGTGGACGGAAATTTGGATAATGTGATGAAATATGACCTTATTATATGTGTTCGATACAATAATTATATGGTGTTTCTTAATCTTTATATATACAATTCTTTCGTAGGTATGGATGTCACTGAACTCCTCCTAAACGGCTGGGCCGATTTTGATGTATTTTTTTTGTGTGTTCGGGTGGATTCGAGAATGGTTTAGATTCACAAAGTTATTCAAGAAATTTTGAAATTTTCCAATTTAAGACGTGTGTACGGGACAACGTCTGTCGAGTCCGCTGGTATTAATATAAGCAACAATAATATGATGAATAAAAAATTGTTAAGTGGCCTGGAGTCTGAATGGTATCAACCCTAGTTTAAGACGTGTTAGGGCGGAAGTCGTGAATCAGAGCGTGTTAGACATAAGTGGTTTCGCGTAGCTGAATTATAGCCCACTGCAGAATCTATCCGTTGTCTACAACTGTCCCAAGGTTTATATGAAATCCTTGTATTACCAATATTTCTACGCACGACTAGATTACGTAGCATGGGTAGTTACTTTATAGTAGAATGTTAAATTTGTAAAAGGGTAAGCAATGTTTATAACAAAATTTATATGAAAACGTTCAAAAGATATAAATTGCTATAGTCGAAAAGGAAATTTAAAGAAACATTTGTGTGTTAAAGGCTATTGTAATATTGGTGGCTATTTAAATGATACCAGCGATCAAAACATTCCCACCCTATTACCCAGAAATATTTTGATCGTACCAGGCTCTTTCAAGCGGACTTTTATATATTAATACAGATATTAAACTTTAATACAGCGGCAAAAAATAACTTGCTGATGTTCATTACCATTTCTTCTCAGTTGCTTTTCTTTTCCGAACCAGTGGCTAGCGAGCTGGCGGTTCACCTGATGCCGATGGACATTTGCAACACCCGTAGGGTGGCAGATGCATTGCCACCTTATAATAAAGCGAGCCCCGGCTACCTCACTCACCAGACGGATCGTCACACTTTCATTTCACACCGGTCTTCCGCGAGGTCGTAGTTACCTGGACGGGCCTGCCCATTCCTGCAACAGCCGAAGCTGCTGCGTGGCACAACCACAGTTAAAGTGCCACAGTGGTAGTGTTTTGACCAATAAATAAGTAAGTGTGCTTCTATATTTTGAATTTGAATTCCAAATGCACACATGAATATATATATATGTATATGTATTATATACTGTAACACACGTTAGTGTGTGTTGGACAAAAACACACATTCATGACTCGATCGAATCAGCTGCTACGGTAGGCTTAATCGGCCATGAGTGCGATTGCAAATTGAAAAGTGTTGGTATGACCTACTAAATGAGCGTTTATCTTCGTTTTATTAGTTTTCGAAATCTCAAAGGCGGTTCTTGCATGACTATCGATTACTTGCTAACTGACAGAATCTTACTATCGTTTACTTCCTCGTGAGCTGAGTTTTATTGTTACACTCTTAATACAGCTAATAAGCAAGCAGTCTGTTCACCTGATGTTAAGTGAACATCACCCATGAACATAAGGGTTCGCTAATGTTAGAGAAGACAGTTTTATGCGACACTCACTGAGCCTTTCCTATTTCGTCGTCCGTCTTGTTTGTTAGTATGCCCACTTGGTAGACTGTGGCGTGAACAACGTACCTGTGGAAACATTCAAGCCACTCAAGGAAATTACTATACAATTACTGAACTTATTCAATTATGATAACAACGTAGCGTTTCCTGATGCTGAGTAAGTCGTATGGCACCGGCTATCTATTACCTTGGTAGGTTATCACCCTCGTTCGGGGAATTACCTCGGCCCTTCGAAAGATCATCGTGTAGTGGAAGCATTTTGCTTTCGCGTTTCTCCTGTTGAGTGAGGTAATCCCCAAGTTTTTTTAAAGGTTATTAACTCATCTGCAAGTCTGGTGTTGTTGGTTTGTAGACGCCCAATAGGGGTGGCAATCACCCTACACCAGGTGGAGTATACACCCACTTTTCACCTAACCCTACTGGTTGCATGTGTCATGTGTGTGTGCTTTTGCAAGTGTCTTCACTACGATAATTGCTTGGTCGCCAAGCGAGAAACTTTCTTCGCTGTCGGTTTCTCTGCGTGACAGAGTTCGGGAAGACATCCGCAGTAGAACATGAATGTATATCACTACAATATTGATCAGCATCTTGGTCTTCAGTATGCCATTTTGATTGAACTGTCGATTAGCACTTACATGTCTTTGGCCGCCGAAGAGTTAGTTTGGGCCACTTGGTCGCAGAGCACATCGCCAAACGCGACGGCCAGCACTAGGATATCCTGCACAGAGTTTTGAAAAAAGTAAATGTATGTCTATTCACCAATTGCAGTGAAAAACAAGAATAAATTATTATACGAACGAGAAACATTTCACTGTGATTTTCTTTTGCGGCCAAAAAAATTGAATTATTATACCCCATGTCTAGATTTTGACCCCCTATAACGCAATGATATCATATACAAATACGAGATGATAATGTGTTAATGAGTAATATTATGTACACTATTAGAAAATCATCGTTATAATAAGCCAAAGAAATAGACATACCTTTACATGTATACATGGGATTAAAAAATTTTACGCCCTTCGGCATTCGGTTAAAAAGCTTGCTACAGCTAGTATCGCTTCAATAAAACTGTCCGAATGGGAAGCGCATACAGTTTTTCTCTAAGACACTTATTTAATGGGAACAGTGATTATAAGGATTATGTTTTCAAAATTAAGGGCTATTTGAAAAAAAGAAAAGAGAGTAAAAGCTTATAAATGTCCCACTGCTGGGAAAAGGCCTCCTCTGTAACGAGGGTATCAGGGCATAGTCCACCACGCGACCCAACTACGGATTGGCGGACTTCACATATCTTCGAAATATATGTTTTTTTGTTATTATTTCCATATTTTGCAGGTTTCCTCACGATGTTTTCCTTCACCGCGGGGCACGTGATAATTCAGCACTAAAATTAACAATTTCTTTGGTGCTGACACCGGGGGTCGAACTCAGGTTGCTCGAGTAAATTGAATTAAAGGCGATGACACTGAGCTATCACGGCTACTTGAAGCTTCATCGGACACATAGAGAGAAAGGCTTCCGCGGACTCCGAAGATACTAAGATTAGGGCAGATGTACGGCCTATGTCAGTGGGGTTGTTGACTATGGGCCGTAGCTGGGTCTGCGGAACGCTGTGGCGACAGCCGTCATCGGTGGACAGGCTGAGGCGGTGATAACCGTCGGTCTTTTGCTTAAGCCAATTTTTTTAAGTGAAAAGTTGCCAACCAAGCAAGCGACGACCACCTGATGTTAAGTGAATGCCGTCGCCCATGGACGTCTGCTACACCCGAAGGTTCCAGATGCGTTGACAACCTTTTGAAAATTGGGCTCCGGCCACCTCACTCACCAGACGAAACGCGGAAGTATTTTACTTCCGTAAGTATTATAATTCTGTGAGGTCGTGGTACATACTCGGACGAGCCTGCCCATTTGTGCAACAGCCGAGGCTGCTGCGAGGCCCTACCACCGTCTAAATATCCACCACTCTCAGAGTTTTGCGCTATTATGTATGTAATGTTTTTTGATGTCCCGTCTGGGGTCCGACGACTTTCGTCAACTTTCTAGACCGATTCTCTGGTCATTTCATATTGGGTCTTTGGCTGGTGACATGCATAGCCGTCGGGTGCCATCAGGCCTGAATACAGTCTTTTTAACCAACCGCGTCCGCTAGATTGAATGTCGTAAGAGAATAATCGATTTACCTTACTCCCATTCGATTCAATATGTTCGATCACCTTACTTCAATCCTGATGGCGGCGCAAATGAAATCGTTAATTGCAATTAACAATTGTGTCGACTGATCACTTGCTCAGGGTGGAAGGAAAGCAACGTGAACAAAGAATATTTAGAAAATATCTGAAGTGCGCCGTACACCAATTTATTGTTTACTTGAAAATGTTGTCGAAATATCTATATTACTGGATAAATATATAATATCTATATATGATGGATAATTTCAATTGTACAGGGTAGCTTTTCCAAAGGTGCCCAAATTCACACAGGTGGTTCAGACTCGGTAGTATAATCGATTATTGAAATAAAATCCATGCCATTCCATTCCTTAGAAAATAGAACTTGTTGACAATGCGGTAGTCATTCATAAATGCGTCGTAAACTTTTGAAACGAACCTGTGAGCGTGTTAGTTGACCATAAATCACGCACTTTTTGAGATAAGTTCAAATGAATGTATTTAGCTAATTACGAGTGATTTTAAATATTTATCATTTTTTACATAACATTATTTATGTCTAGAATTTAATAAAAAACATGGATACACTTAAAAAAGCCTCCCTGTATAATATATTAGCGATCCGATGGTGCAATGCTGTTTGTTTTCGACATCGCATTAGAAACTTCTAAAATTATCAGTGTTTCTCTTCTATATTATGAATGAATTATACAAATAAACCTTCCTCTTGAATCATTGTATCTATTAAAGAAAATCCGTTGCGTTTTAAATATCTAAGCATATAAAGGGACAGACAGACACCGGGATGACTTTGATTTGTACTATGTAGTGAAGATGGATGATTTCAATTTGAAAAGAATACTAAACTCACCAGCGTCTTCATACTCGTTCGTCTGGTGATGTTCAGACCTTGGCATTTATTTATAAGGTCTTGCTTTATTTAGTGTTATGCCGCTAATTGCTAAGTACTAATTGTGGCGAACATCGGCTAATACGAGACTTCGTAAGCGATACAGAAAAGTCGTGCTGCAAGTTTTTTAGAGTTCTGTATCCAAAGGGTAGTCTGCCTGTCACCAGATCTCATAAGCCGTGTAGTTAGACAGTTGAAATTTTCACATATGTGTTTCTGATGCTTCTATAATAAATATTTGTTGAACACGAAAGAACACATAAAAAAAATCTTTAATTGGAGCCTCCCGTACAGCGGACAAGATTTTTTTGCCGTTTTTACAGATGATCGTACGGAAACCATCGTGCGCGAGCCGGGTTGTTTTTTGTTCTCGTTTGCCCCATTTTAATTAGTTAGCAAATAACTTCTACTGAGCTAAGCCTTTAATAAACTTCAGTACGTAAAGTCTCAATGTGTAAGAGCTGAAAGCGGAAAATGAACACATTTTTTTCTTTCATATCAGTTTATTATACAGCGTTCTAATCCAGATTTCGCATTGACAAGCTCACGGAGGCGAGCTTACGAGTACAAAATAATAAAGTATTTCGGCTTCATCCCAGTCATCCTTTGACTCCGCCATCCAATTCGTTCCGTATAACCTGATGGTCGGGAAAGATTATTTCATGCACATTTTCATTTTTCAATGCTCACAGATCTACGTGAATGAAAAATGAGAAACAGTTATGACCGCAGCTCTGTTTGGCGATTGTGATTTCATATATTGCGTACGAACATGATGGCTATATGGTGCCGTTGCTCAGTGTGGAGGGTTTGGCGAGGGTCGTGCGTTCGATTGCCACACGGGACAAGTTTTGTGTGACCCAAAACCGCCTACAATATGATGTGCCGACCCCACCTAGGTGGGATAAGGGTGGTGGGAGGATGTTATGTACAAACAAACACACAAATTTCACCTATTCAGATCAGAGAGATTTTAACGTACGTAACGTCGGACGTTAATATTACAAATAAAATTTAATAAATTATTCAGCACTACAATACCCAATTTCTATTGAACCAGTAACTTTTCTCTCTAGAAAAAAAAATTGCACGTCGTAAATCGACACATAATTAGTACTTCGCACTATAAGATTTAAACATCTTATTGTCGCACCAGCGAATAAGTAATTTCTCAAACAAAATTACATTATCTACGAACGCAAATAGGGCTCTATATGCCTGATTGTTCGTTTACCTGCATATACTGTAGAGAGTAAGTATAGTATGAAAAAAAAAAAGCAATTCATTCTGTGGGTGTTCTTCGAAATCACAAAATGCAAGTCAGCACTTTATTAGTATAAGATTGTTAACTTTTCAAGAGGGCTCTTAATAATAGGGATATTTAAAAATGCCTTTTGTCTTCTGAACACGGTGCACTGTACTCTAATGGAACCTAACTTGTCAATATCCTTTGCCGGCATTACGTGTCGTCAGTCGAAATGCAGCATAGTTTTTCAGTGCGCTTTTGAGACCAAAAGGCAAAGCGTCAATCATTTAAAAAAAGACATTTCAAGAGTAACTAAATCAAAATACGATTTACTTTTTACTAAGTAAATTAATTTTTTACTGTTTCCTTTCCTGTTTGAAGTCAGTTCTTTTTTTGTTAAAAATGATTTTATTTGAATCTGTACTCGTTTTAGTATATATATGGAAGTATGAACACCCCAATCAGTAGGATGTCAGTACATATTTCTACAGTATAGAAGATAATCGACATAAAGAAGACAAGTAAGCTTTACTGTCAATGTGCCGGCCATGTAGCTCGTAGAACTGATCACTGATGGGGAAGATAGGTTCTCGAGTGGCGACCACGTATTCAATGGCGTCTTAGGCCATATCGGGGCCCAGGGCACACAAATTTGGGCTCTGATGAAAAATAAAAAAAGTGAATGACAAAAAGATTTTTCTGCTATTCTTGTTTTTTATTTATTGTATAAACTCCTTGCGGAATATATCTATCTAAAGTAGAGAAACATTTCTACAGTTTAAGCAAATAAAAACACCACGCGAGGCCCTCGTGACTGTATGGTAAAGACGGTGCTGTCACGTATTGACTATTGCAGTGTAGGTGGACCCCCTAGTAGACGGAGTGAGGTGAGTGCACAGATGCAAATGTGCCGGAAGTCGATGGATGCAAGTGAATAATGATTCTGGCAGTCTTTGGCGAAGCTGCCTATGTTCAGCAAAAGACTACAATATAATATCTTATGCAGAATGATAAAAAGAATGGTAAAATATTTAATAATTTTAATACTTGTATTGTGGAATGGATAAATATAAAGTACCTGGAGGACCGAGCGTTGCTCGGTATTTTTTTAGTAGATCGTGTATTTTGGAAATTAAAAGAATTAAAAAATAAAAAAGCAATGATCGGGAATCCAAAATAAAAGTAAAAATTAGATGACTCCGTGGCGCAGTTGCCAAGGTATTGGCTTCGGCATCGGGGGTCGTGGGTTCCATTCCCACATGGGACAACTATTTGTGCGACACACAGATAGTTGTCTCTCATCTGGGTGTTTGTCCTCGTTTAATTTATGTTTGTAAAACGTCCTTACAAAACAGGACAATGTTTTCCTAAAGTGAGGACAATGTTAAAAAAAAACCACGGCCTTCTGTTTCGGGGCCGCCCGATTACCGACCGAGCAATTATAAAATTTTTTTTTCGTCGAAATTTACCATAATATTTTTCATTCCCTGAAAACAAGGATAAAAGGACATTTTCTAAAAAATTAAAACTAGCTAGAATCTAGCTAGTAGATTCGGGCCGAGAAATCGATCTAGCTGCTAGATCGGCCCCTTTCTTTTTCTAGAATTGCTCGTTTAAAGGTATTACATATTCAATTATTAAGGTCATTGATGGTGTTCCCGCTATATACTCGTATAATAAAATCGGCTTCTACCTACATCTATTTCATTCTTTGTGTTCATCTGATTAAGATATAACTAAATTTTGATATGTAGAGAAGTAAAAAAGTCTCCCTCATCCAAAATCATCCCGCAAACTACCCACCTCCGATGTTTACCACCCCTGTTGTGGGGGAGCTAGCTACTAATTAACTTTACAGTGTATCGATTTCAATATAGGCATGGTGTCTAGGGTTCCACAAATTCGTTTACCTCGCAAGGCTAACCATCAGTTAAAGGAGAAAAGTATTAGCAGATTGTTGAAAACAAAATTATGTGTGTACGTAATAAGTTGTATTTGTTCAGAGTAACAAAAGAAAAATTACAAGAAAATTTATCCCTTTCGCTATTAGCTTTGTCTTTGCGAAAAAGACATGAACTGCAAGTGCATATCAATTGATAATGGTTTAATTAGATAACTAGGAATTATAGGTATACACTAGCGACCCGCCCCGTCTTCGCAAAGTGCGATGTATTAATACATATAAACCTTCTTCTTGAATCATTATATTTAGTAAAAAAAAACTATCAAAATCCGTTGCGTTGTTTTAAACATCTAAGCATACATAGGGATAGGCAGACAACGGGACTACTTTGTTTTATACTATGTAATGATGTCAAGAAGTTGTTATTGGTTGCCATGGCAACACCGTGAAGCTGGTCGCTTTGCAGCCAAGCTCATCATGTCGCTCTTCGGCTTTCGATTTTCGCGCGCATCTTAAAAACGATTCGGAAAACGGCGGACGACGGCACCGCACGGAGAGGCGCTTATCTCAAAGTCGCGTATCGCCGATCGGGCGCGTTATCGCCTGAGAACGGCGAGATTGCGACGCGGGCGCGTCCAGTGCGATGCTGGGCGTCCGACCGTCCGCCGAGACCGGAGACTGAGACCGAAGACCGGAGACTACGTGCGGTCTCAGCGCAGACCGCGAGCAGGCGGTGCGCCGTCGACGCGACCCGCGCCCATTGTGACCCGATCGGCCGATTGTAGCGGCAAACGGCTGCGCCGGTGCAGTATCGATTGGACGCGTGACCCAAGCGCTGCGCTGGACCCCTGGTATCCCTGGACCCGTGGACTCGCGAAACTTGCGTGGAACCGGCTCAGCACAAGCGAGCCATGGCTGCCAACCGAACGATGGTCACTGCCGGCGTTCTCACCACGGTAATACCACGATACGTTACACGTTAGTTCCCTAACCCATTCCACGTCACTGCGCAATTAACCGATCATGAAAATAATGTAAATGAATTTTGTACTGTTAGAAATCGCGTATCTCGGGTGTATTTATATGTGTGGTAGAAATAATACTAATTTTCCACCGTTACATTTCAGTCTCTCAGTTTCGTTTGATTTGATTTCTTTGATTGTTCAGAGCCTTAAAGAAAATTTAGAGGATGCCGAGATGGAGACAGAGACAAATGCATGTCCACGTGTGTTAAACTAAGTCAATTAAGTGTTAAGTAAACCCCGTCACGAAATTAACGGGTGTCTGTTAGTTAAATAAGTTGCGGCGGTAGTCGCCTGGACACGAGTTAGGTTTGAGTGCAGCAAAGTCAGCTCAAGAGCAAATGTCGCTGGCGAACGGCAAACATCATGCACCAAAGGTTCAAATTGGATCTTACAAAGTTATAATTAATTTTTGTTCTCAATAACAAGAAATCCCAATCGTGTCATTAATTTATTGGTTTGTTTTTTTCAGGTCTTTTCTTTCATATTTTTTCTTTATTCGTCACATTTAGGTATCTGTTGTTTTTTCTATGTAAATATAATATATGTAATTCGATGTATGTATATAGCGATTATTTTGATCCTTATTGATATTAATATTAATATATGATAAATAATATTTGATATAATTAAAGTTCAAAATATGCTTAAATAAGACATGTTGAAATATTTGTAAAACTATGGCACAAAAACTGTAGTAGCATTATTTAATTCTTGTATATTTTGTAACTTTGATTCTTGTTCTTTCGTATTTCGGCTTTGCGAATGTTGTTGTTTTTTATTTAAGTTAACGAATATTTATTCATAATAGTGCCTCATTTATGTACATATTTAAGGCAAGTAGAAGGTGACTTCCGTGACATTTATTTAAGAGTGTGCGAATTAAGTTATTGTAATCATGCATTACGATTACAGCGTTGCAGGCGCTTTGCGAAAATCTTTAGTACATAGTTCTAACTTAGGTAGAACACTCGTAGAACTAATCAGGAGCTTCGTTGGTATCCTTTAGTTAACACTAAGAGGATCACATTTTTGAAGTGTCTTTATAGGCGATAGGGCTTATTTATTAGACTTTACCGGTGGATTCGCTCCGTAATTTATTTATTAAAAGGCTTACCAACTAAATACATACAGAACATTATCACAAAAATCGGTTTAACTTAATAATAAAGCTGTGACAATAACGTACGTATTTAAATTACAGGTAAACGCAACACTATAAAACGCACTCTAAATGTAGAGAACAGAAAATTACTATACTAAAAATTCTTTTATCTTTACTAAGAAAAAACTAAAAATAAGAAAATTAGAAATAAGAATATAACTCTTCCTTAATGCCTACAATTATGTATACACCATCATCATCTTCATATCAGCCGTAGGACGTTCACTGCTGAACATAGGCCTCCCCCATTGACTTCCACCTCGACCGGTCGTTAGCGGCGTGCATCCAAAGCGTCCCTTCCAATCTTGGCTAGGTCGTCCGTCCACCTTGTGGGAGGCCTTCCTACGCATACAATCTCATGCAAATCAAGCTTATAATGTTGTGTTCCTTATTAAATTCCAAACAGTCTGGCCATCGCGATCCTTTATATAGAACACGTTTACAGGAAAACTTTCGTGGTTAAAGCGAGTCAGTGCAATTGCACGGGGGACGGTCGTAATGTCATATTTGAAGATTAGCCTTGAGCTTGCCATAATCATGTCTGATTAAACGCTCCTTTAAAAAAAAACAAAGAGTTAAGCCTTGAGCTCTGAAAATATTCCACTACGTTGAGCCACACGGAGCAAAGGCTATACTGATCCACTAGTAATGTACACTCTTTCTGACCGACTTCAAAAAAGGAGGTGATATGTTTGACTGTATGTATTTGTTTTTCATGTATGTTCACCGATTTCTTTCCCATCTGTGGACCGAATCTCAAATTTTAATTATGGTTTTAACGTGATCATAAAGTGAAATAGAGCTTGAGTCATTTAGATACACTGATCTATTTTACTAAAAGACCAAAAATACGACCCTAAGCGACGAATAACAGCAGGTAAGAAGCTTTAGCGAAAAATCAACTGATCTAAAACGAGTATCTAACTAGTTTTGGCTTTTGGTTTAAAATTTATCATTATACAGCGTGTCGTTACCATCGCGACAATAAATGAACACACGTCTAACGCTACTTGCCAATAATCATAAAAAAATATTAACGTTAAACAAAATCCTTAATTAAAAAAAAATATTTTTCAAACAAACTAATTAAGTAAAAAAGAAACAAAATTTGTAACCCCTATAGAACTCGCGCCACAGCGTCGCATTACAAGCCTCTCCTTCTAACAGTATGTTTTGTCTCTTTTTAATTCATTCAACCCATTCATATGCTTTGTGACCTTTACAAATGAACTTTACGTTACAGTTTTATACGTAAGGGGTGTTCTAAAATTGTTTGTTTTGGAAAATTTAATAACTCGGTAAATATTGATGTTTAAAGAATGTAAATGTTTAATACAACTTTAAAAAGTTATGTTCTATATGTGTGTTCGTTTATTGTCGCGGTGGTAGCGACACGCTGTATACCTACTATTCTATGAACTAAAGCACCTTAGGGTCATTTATTTTATCAGTTTACCGAACCATAAAAAAATTAAGGCTGTTAACTTTTAACTTTATGAAGAGTTTTAGCACAGTATTCATAAAGCGGCACTTAAAAATCACTGACAACGCATGTGTCTCTGATGTGCCGAAGACATTCTCAACCTAAGCACTTATTATTAGGGACCTAAACACTTATCGAGTCAATCGTGTACTTCAAACAAATCCGCGTTAAATAATTCACCAAAATTTAAAATGTCACTCACATGTTCACGTATATTAAATGAAACTGCTTGCTGTTTAAATTGCGTTTTAATTTTGATTACTTTTTTCCCGCATTTCACACCCTTACCAACGTTCATGGTCACGGGACAGATAAACGCCATAAAATTCGTAAAATGTTTTCAGTTAAGTAATAATATATTCGCTTAAATACAAGAAATCAATACACTCTACATAGTTCAAACACATACATTAAATAGTTAATTGTAATGTATAATTACATATAACTATTTAATTTAAATCCATGATTAGCCTTTCGCGACTTACATCTTCTTAATAAATAAAAATGAATGTTGATGACCGCATAACTCAAGAATGGCTGGACCAATTAGGCTAATTTATTTTTTCGTACATATCCTCAAAGTCCACGGAAGGTGTCCATGGAAGGAAAAAAAGATGTCTGTCCGGGCAACTAGTAGTTATGGAAAAAAACAAATTGTGACAAAATAATGAATTGGGATATAGTTGATAGTTGTCTGGGATTTATACCTTACTATCATATCAATATTTATTTATTGTTCGTGCACAATAAATACTAACAAAGGCGGATTAAACACAACCAGCGTTAGTCCACCCCGGGATAATCCAGACTGTTGACGATTGAACGTGATGTTTCGAAATCTCCGAGCCACATTATAGCGCATGAATTTCTTCTATGCGGCAAAAACAAGTATCGCCTTTTATCGCCAGAGCTACAGTTCAGATGATAGCGGACGTGGCTACGTGTCAAGAAAGTGATAACTGGCGTCAGACCAAACGCATTTTTAGGTTACGACAATAATCTTCTCCCACTTCGCTCCTGTATGCGTATTCTGACCTGTGTTTGTGTGCGTGCGTTCACTTTTATTTCATTTTATTAAGACATACAAACAAATGTGCAAAAATTGATATAACCAGTAACATATCACACATTCAACACCGTGTACCCAAAGTTGTGTTTAGCTATAGTGGCGAGATAAATTTATACATGTTACTTTAATGTATTGTATATTTAAATATTTAGTGACATTCTTTTTAAAATAACAAGGCGTAGTAGCAAAGTTGTTTTTGCCGTTGTAATAGATAACGGATAGAACCCGGCGGTGGTTAGTGGCCCGCTTTGTAACTCCTAAGCATAGGACCCCGATATATAAGGCGAAATTTGAAATCTGTAGGAGTGTTTATAAAAAACTTAAACTACATTTACAAAATTTTTGGTTGTTTGGACCCTTTAATTAATAACTTATGTGTGTAATTGAGTTCACTCCATCGTAGGGGCTTTTATATTGCCACAACAAATCAAATTCTGTGGCCTTTATTATTAACATTTATTGGCATATTTACTTAGTAATGCTGTAATGTTTCCATACAGCTTATATATACTTTGCTATGCAGCCCTCTGTAAAGGTAATTAATTATGGGGGGATATTCATTTGTTTTCTCGTCTGGTTGGGTTTATAAATAAAAAATAAACGATATAGATAAGTTAATAATAATAATAATAATAATAGTTAATAATGATAATTAATTAGTATTATTAACTTTTTTGGTATATATTGGTGTTTTGTAAGTCTTTATTAATAGTTTTTTTCCCTTTTAAATAATAATAACATTAGTATATCCCTCCGTGAAGTCAACTTTAGGCACCATTTGAAAATCAGCGCTGCGTTACAATATAAATGCAGCAATTTACAATTACACGTCGCAATAGTTATTTTTCTGAATGGCTTTTTTTTAATATTTTTTTAAGTGATGTCGAATAAAAGTTTTCTTTCTTTTCTTAATTCACAGATTACACATAAAGGCCAGTCTTAAGAATCCTGGCTACGTATAGATTCTTTTTCCAATTTTATCAGCACCGATCCGTTCGAAATATGCGAGCGGAACACATTTGCTCCGAACCAGGCTTTGGCAATAAAATCTAAAGATCCGCAGATACTATTATATAGTGTTATGCGCTTACCAACATTCTTTTTTATTTATTAATAAGAAGAAGACTATTTTACGTGTCAAAATAAAAAAAACTTCGAAAGAAAGATGATTCATTGTTATATGAATATTTTGAGGTTTAGAGTTTTACATGTTATTGATTTTTTACACGTTACCATTGTTGATTTCACGTTACTGTGCGCGTATCGTAATAATTCATTCTAATCATTTATTCACTAACGCGCCAAAAGAAGTATAGCTTAAAAAATTCCCAGTGGCTAGAGATCCGCTAATCAGTGACGTAGCCGAGAGATCTATGCCTAATATTTTATCTGTTTTCTCCTTATCCGATCGCGTTTATACTTTCCGTGACTATGCGATAATTCGATCGGCCCACGACAATGCTGGTTTTCTAACCGTGTTCGTTTCCCATACAATGCGCTGCCCGAATCACTGGACACCGCCGTCTGATCGTTGTAAGGTCATTGTAATCATCATCAGGGTTTTAACATCTTATTGGTGTCGTTCGCAGAATACATTCTTTCGTCCGCGAATCTTCCCAGCCACGTTTGGGGGCCAATTTGCCGGCTGTAGCGTTTAAGTAATAAAGCAACCAGTTGATCCGTGCAAAATTTTCGCACAATACCCCGATCTGTTGCCGAATCGTAATATAATAATATGTAAATAACCGTCTACGAATGAAAGTTATCTTATTTCAACGAATAACGTGTTCCAGCACACATTGTTTTCTTTAAATTAATAAAATTGTCAGTAGATGGCGTTATTTTAAATTTTGTATATGAAGTTTTTAAACGAAACTAATATGAAATAACATATAAACATTAAAACATTAACTTTATTCCACTTGTCTCGTCAATAGCGGCGAACATAAGTTTTGAAAACGTTTGAATCATTAAATTTGATGATGAATTATGGAAGTTATGGCTTAAAAAATGCTTTCGAAGATATTATAAAGATATTAGCGTATATAAAAACAAATTAAAGTATAAATGATATTGGTAAGATCAGACAATGTTAGTAAAGGAAAATAGTAAATGGTAAAATGGTCTGAAATGTTGATACATGGTCCATCCGGCTTAGGCGGATACAGAGGCATTTTTATGCGTCCCCTCAACGTTTGGGAAAGACGTCCGGTCCTATGCTGAGGAACAGATCATTGACACGCGGCCGTGTTGTGACTTTGGCACAGATAACGAAGCGACGTTCGACACTTCGTATCGTATTGGTATCTAATCAGGTGCCGAACGCGTTGCCGCGTTAAGGAATTCACGTTTCGAAATCGTATCGGCGGTAGTTTGACGGAATCGTTTGTAGCGTATATACGAAATAGAAGAGCGGCAGGTGTGGAACGAGAGACGCATCTTTCAGATTGCAATTCGACAAGAATCGCATCTGGCGGATGGGATTAAAAAATATTAAAAATCCGTCTGTCAGATTAGTCTGCGCAATATATACTAAGACGTGAAGCAAAAAATTTGTACCCCTTTTTACGGAAATTGTGCGGACGGAGGAGTATGAAATTTCCTACACACATAGTTTATATAGAGGAGTGCAGAATGCTAATGTTATTTTTAAATTATGCTTAAAAATACATTAAATCAATAAAAAGAAAACATTACACACTACCAAGTGTTTAATTGTGGTCGAAATTCGCCACTAGCTGACTGGTTAACTATAAAACTGTATAAAAACATCAACTGTACAACAAAAGAAATACCTTTAGAGAAGTAACCCTTCTGAAGTATGTTCTTAATTTTAGACTGGAGGATGGCTGAGTTTTAACGTATAAGAACAAGCAATCTTTCAAATAAAATATTATTAAAATAGTACCAAGCATTGCTAAACAGTAATAGAATGAACGTATTTATATGGAAAGATTTTCGCTTTTGTGAGGTCGTCGGCCGCGTAACCAAAGCGGCCGTTGTTAAAGCGTCTGGACGCGAACCAGAAGACCTACTAGATTCAAATCACGCCGCACCGAAAGTTTCTGTTCTTTTATCTACAATTTTTTTTATGTGAGAAGTTGCCACGTGAGCAGACGGTTCACCTGATGTTAAGTGAATACCGCTACCCATGGACATCTACTGCAGCCGAGGCTTACAGATGCGTTGACAACTTTTGAAAAAAAATTGGGCTCCGGCTACCTCACTCACCTGATGAAACGCGACAGTATTTGACACACTTCCACTTTACGCCGGTCTTCTGTGAGGTAGTGGTACTTACCCGGACGGGCCTGCCCATTCGTGCAACAGCCGAGGCTGCTGCGTGGCCCTATCACAGTCACAACTTATAATACCCATATACGTTGCTAACACAACATTGTTAAAAGTAAATATTGTATACTTGTGGAAAAAGTGATGGTAATTGTTTTTAGAACTATTATATGTATACATATAAATTTATAAAATATATAATGTGTATAAAATTTTCTTTATCTCGTAACTTTGACCGCGTGGATCACCGAATAAATCTACAATGATAACGAAATCTCTGCTTGTGTATCTTCTAGAACCAAAATTCAAAGAATTTTGTGAGACGGTCAATTGCTTAGTTATCATTTTCGAAGTCATCCCCGCGTGGAAAGTATTTTTAATATAAATAGGAAACAGCGTTCGCTTTCTAGTTGCTGCGCAAAAGGTTTCATGTAATAAACGGTAATAGCTTCTTCTGAAAGCAATATACTCGTAATTAAAGTAGCTTCATTCTCTAGGAAAACAGCGAACGCTGAGAGAATTCTGAGAAGGCGTCATACCGTTTTGCTTGTTCCTGGAACGTCTCGAGATACAAATTGCCTTGGGCGCTGACAAAGCAAGCTAGTTCATTATGATCCCGTCGCTACCGTACATCCCCTGGACGGTGTTCTAAATATTAAATACATTTTATAAATGTAATCAACGAGCGAGCCTTACGGTAGTCGCATCAAAGATGTTTAATAATCTAGACGGCGCATGTCCATATACTATAAGGCGTTATAAAAGTTCCGCATTACATTACGTATATAAGTGAGTATGACAGATGATATAGAACGTATGATACGGAAAGAGATAGCGATAGAGATAGAGAAATTTGCAATCTAATTACACCAATTGTTGTTATTTCAGTGGCAAACATATTTAAACATATTTTTCTTTTGTAAATAAATACATATTATACATATATAAACACCCAGACACTAGAAAAACACTATGTTCATCACACAATATTTTTCCAGTAGACGGGATCGAACCCACACCCTCTGGCGTAGGAGGCAGGTACACTACCCACTACGCCATTCGGGTCGTCACAGTGATTTTAAAGTTCAAGGTTTCCAGTGGGGTTTGGTTTTTGGGCAGAGAGTTACGAACAGATCCGTCAGTTCCCACAGTAAACAAACAACAGTACTTTATCAGATGCTGACTCAACACAAATAGATTATTCTTATTACGTTTGTTGACAACCCTATTGCCGAAGAGGACAGTGAAATGCGTCTCAAACCAAAAATATTACGTAGAATATATACGTCCATCGTCGACGTAGTGTTTATCTCAATAATATATTATTTCTCAAAGGTGATCTTTTTTTTTAAAGCGCCATAACTTCCATAATTATTCATCAAATTTGTTGATAGCAACACAGTTTTAAAGGTTATCTTAAAAATTATGACGAATATATTATGATAATGCCATCTATTGACAATTTATTTAAATTAAAAATTGTGAAGTAGTCTGAAAAACGTTATTCTTTAAAAATTATTATTTTACTTTATTACATTATTACCGGTTCGGTGACGGATGACGGTAATGTGCATAAATTTCCGCACTAATATTATATTGTTATAGACATAACAGCAGTGCGATTTATCAGTTACCTATTTCTCATTGTATATATATGCTTATATTATTTTAGTCCTAGAGAATGTTGTGTGAAAACATGTTCCGAAATATTTATATAATTTTATTTAAAGGGACGTCCGTTGATCCAGCTGGAACTATACATATGTTACTAGCTTAACTAAAACCCAACTCGTGTAGGCGCCAATGATGTGCAACATTTGGCTGGCAGTCTAGAAAGAGAATTTACAATTTTAAAAAGTGAACGGGACTTTGAAATTAAAAATTTCAACATCATGTTACACAGCAATGAGCGTCATGGGAAAAAATTGAAACTCGATGTTCAGACCTTGTTCTCTCCATATGCACAGGTGCAGGCCGTGGTCCAGATAATACTAGCCGGCTTGGGCTTGGCGCAGTTCTTCTGCGTCATCGACTTCCTTCGTGAGCTGCCACTTCTACTCTACATAAGGATATTGTATTTTCACAGTGAGTAAAGTTTAGCTAGCGACGCATGTCCATACTGCGCGGCCTTTAAAAATTGTTCCGCTTACACTATTATATGACATATACAGTAAATATACATAATAAAGAATAATAAAAGATAAAAATTGTTACTGTGCTTTATCCATAGGAGATAAACATAAACATATAAGGTTTAGCCATTATTTGCAATGTAAATGCAAAAAATACGTTTGTTACTTACGCTACGTTACTACGTTACGTTACGTTACTATCTCATTCCAAATTCTCAGCTTTTCTCTACTATAATATGCATGTATACCACGTATAAACCTTTCTCTTGGATCACTATGTCTATTGCTGAAAACTGCATTAAAATCGAGTAGAGAAGTGTAACTTCAATAAGAAGTAGTAACTCCGTAATGTAAATGACGTAATTTCATAAAGTAATTACATAATTTAGATAGAGGATCTTTAAGAGATGAATAAAGCATCAGATATTCCGATATTTTTTGAGTCTCTTCCTAAAATAAAATTTCTTCAAATTGCTACTACTTTTACTAAATTTACCATATTTATGATCTAATCTACGCCACGCTATTTTCTTTCACACTCGTTAATTCCAAAGTCAATGATTGCTTCACTCACCAGCATTTAGAAGGCTTTTATATCTGTTCCGAACCGGTGCCGATGGTAGTATTTTGACTATCAATAAGCGAGTATAATGCTCCTATGTTGAATAAAGATATTTGAATTTGAATACATCCACGTGTTTCTTGAAGTGGTCAAATGTTTCATTTGTTACGCTGTCTTCCTCTTATTCTTTCTTTAATAAATGGCTTCTCTTAAAAGAATTCCGCCAAAATCATGCCAGTCGTTGCGCTGTCTCCGCTGACAGCATAATCTGTCAGGCCATCGCGTTTCAATTTAATTAGCGTGATGTGCTCCCAATCGGCGCTGATCTCCAGACCCGAACCCTTGCGGCTTCCGGATAAACATCGGTCAGGCGGTGGACGGCGTGGCCGACCAAGCGTTCGTCCTGTTGACGCGCACCCCGCTGCCCTCCACCCGCACATTCGTCATCAACTGCTGCAGCGCGGTACTGAGTGCGTTGTGGATCATCACCAGTGGCATCCTAATGGGTCTGTACCAATACATCTTCTGTGGCTTTAAAAAAAACTAGAGTAACCAGTATTTGTGCTTTATTAATGTCACCCCTCTTAGGGGCCGTCCAGTAATCACGTGATGTTTTTTGGCATTTTAAACCCTCCTTTCCCCCCTTTGTGATGTTTAATACTACCGCCCCAACCCACCCCTAAATCACGTGTACTTTTAGTACCTATAATAAATCTTAAATTTGCAGGATTTTTTTAGAATAATATCTTTCGGCCATAATAGAATAACTGGCGACTGGTAAGCCGAGCCGGGCGGTCGCTAGGACTTAATTCGTTGCCTAGCGACGAGTCCAGTTCACTACACACCGCTTTTCGGTTTAGATATCGCGTGTTTGACGAAAAAATACACACGATATCTTACTACACCAACTCCCCCCTTCTTCATTGTGATATTTTTACCCCCCCAAACCCCTCCCCCCCCCCCCCCCCTTTCGAGGCTAACGTGGTTAATGGACAACCCCTAACAGAATTTAATGGCTCACTGCGATAACTGACCCGACGCGAATTTGTCGGTTCAACCTATGTCACATGTCCCACTGCTGGGCAAAGATCTCCTCTGTACAGAGGCATAGTCATTGGTGGACTTCACATATCTTTGAAATATTTTTTTTATTTAAATGAAACTACTCTAATAGTTTTTTATAAATAACCGTGATAACTGACTTTCCGTTAATTTATCTGTTCTACCGGAATATGTACTCGCGGCTTTTTCAAATACTTCGCAGGATTCGACTTCACGACGGAAAGTCGCTCGTGCATTTTTCATCTCCGTAAAAATAGTCCTTTATACTATTTAGAATGTTCGCGAAAACATCTGAGACTCTTCAGTTCTTCCAGATTAACGTCGAACACGAATAACTTGAGGATTGGACGTACCGTATCTTAAAGGAATAATTTCCTTTGTTTTTTATTCAAATCGGAAACGTGTTGCTATTCGATGAGGTAAAAATTTTACTAGCAAACAGCGTTTAACAAATGGTCATCGATCCGAGAGCCAAGCGTTTATAGGCTGAAGGCGTAACATTCAGATAGAAAGACAGATATACATAAAATTCTTATGTAATAATACTTTCGCCTTTATAATATTTGTAAGGATATATATATACATATATATATCCTTACAAATAAAATACTTACAAATAATATATATTTTCTTTTCTCATGTTGTATTTCAATTAAAACATTAAAACATTTAAATTTACACATTCAACCAAATGTAAACCAAACTACCCGAATAATTCTCATTTCAATCGTAAACTGTCACTAACAGGTATCCCTAATTACACTCACAAACATAGTTGACGCGAGTGTGAAACAATACCTTTACGCACACAAGAATAGGAACGGTGCCGTAAAATTTACATCCGTTATGACTGACTTCTAAATGTAGTGGTTATCGATATAACCAAAGTCGATACTTTGACGGGCTTGACTTTGGCAAAATTCTTTAAAGAAAGAATGCCATAAAGAAAGAAAGAAGAAGAAGAGACGATTTAGATAATATATTATCTAAGGATTTACGATAAAAGTATTTTACTTTAAAATTTGTAGAAAAGTACGAAAAGTTTGTCACCGCTGTGGGAATCGAACGCACGTCTTAGGCATTCGCGGCCTGACGCTTAAGCCACTAAGCTAAACGGTAGATCGCCACACCGACCAAAATACAAAGTTTTTTTTTATTTTATTTTTTAAATACAAAGTACAAGTCATCGCTTAGTTTAGGACTAGATGAAGTTGTGAAAAAATATGTCTTAAAATTATTTAATTATTTTCATGCGTCAAAACGTTTTTTTTTTGCGATGACTAATTGGTGATAATCCTGTAAGATAAAGATGTCAACATTCAAATCGTCTAACTAACTATCATTCCAGTGGATTCCGGTGCAGTTGAATTTTAAAAGTACTATTGAAGCGAGGCGACGTTTAAAAATAAAAGTATTCGTTTAATAAATTCTCCTTGCACAAAGTCCGGCGATAACGGAATACCAGGGAACAATAGGAAGCGAAGAGCTTTGTTTGAGATGTAGTTTACAAATCCACCTTTTATTTTGGTTTCAACGTCTATTACAATATAAGAAATTCCCTCTGCGTCCCTTCTATAATGTTTTTCTTTCGTAGACCTGTAGCGCGCGTTTATAAGTCTTAAGATCACATGGTAGACATAAATGAAATATTCTGTTGGGAACTCTTTCAATATTTTGTCACTAGCAAGATGCACTATTACCTCCCGATACGACGTCGATCTCGGTCGCTTTGAAAATGCTCTCTCTAATAAGTATAAAGTGCCTCAGAGGTAGTTTCTCTTGGAAACATAAAAGTTTGAGACACTCCCTTTGATATATTTAATTAAAGTTGTATTTTATTTATTTAGTTCCATTTTATGAAACATAATTCCTGTCTACAGTTTGAACAAATAGGTATCAATGGTAAAGTTTTAACTAGGTATTACTTTATGGTTTCGAAATATGATTTCAATTTTAATTTCAAACATCACTTAGTTCTCTAAGTTAAGTTTAAGTTATTAAATTTTATTTTATATATAATTACTAATAATAGGTTGTTTATATAACATTCTTTTATGTATAATTACTAATATTTGGCCATATCAGGGTATACAGTATTTTCTTTGGTTTCTTACCGGCCGGTGCTCAGCGAGTGGTGCAAGTGGGTCTAAAAGTAGATTGGCGCGGTGGCCTTGGATCCTGGTGACATCGCTAGCCTCCGCTCTGGACGTGGTGGCAGCAATCACTTTCATCAACGACTCCTTTTACACTAGGGTGAGTAGACACACACACACACATACCGATGTCTAAAATTTCCCAACGTCTTAATTAGCTCTGTCTGATATCTGTGCAAAAAGAAGAAAGTAATGTTGTTGATATCCATATCGGTATAAGAATGTGCACCGTGCTCATTCTTCGATGGGTAGCTCTGTAGAATGCCGCGTGCTATGCCGCCGACAAACGGAATAAAACCACACGTAATTCGTTTAAAGAATTCTCCTACGCTCTAATGTTTTCGACATCGACTCGTGAGTTCGTTTCACTTATGAAAATCGGATTTGGGGGTGATTTATGGCGCTCCGTATCCAGACGCTGTCAGACGTGATGTCGTACGTGGGCGGTTTGGTGAGCGGCGCTGGTAACGTGGAGCTGTCGACGGCGTGGGCGGCGTGGGTGATGGCGGTGCTGTACTCCCGCTTCGTGGCGCTCTTCTTCCTCAATCTTCTGCTCCTCGTGCTCGTGGTGATAGACGGCAACCTGCAGATGGCCAAGCGCTTTCCGGTAATTCCGGCATTCCTTTCCTACCCACGGCCAACTGGCTCTAGGGTGCAAAAACTTGCATTGATTTCGAAAACAGAATGTACGTTAAACCGAAGGTGAATTTAAAAATTGCCTCAATCAAATTAAGGATCGATAAAGTCTACCATCTTTTCATTTATTTCGACCAGTTCAAATAGACGTGACCTCTTACATCCCTATGACTTGGATACCATTAGGGCGATAGGTAAATTAAAAAATACTAGATTATTTTTTAATTTAAAATAGTTATTTGTTCTATTGCTACATCTACAGTAACATTATATTTCGTTAAGAAACGGGATTTATTGAAAGAAATTGGAGAGAAACACCGCTGTTTCTTTCTATTTCTCTACAAGTAAATAATTAAAAATTAAATCAAGTACGTCATAAATTGTCAATACTGCACGTTGCACGTTGTCAATCGGCAAGATGTCAACCCAGATCGTAAGAGTAACCTTTGAACTATTTACGAATAAACATTCCTCAGTGCATATTCGTTATGTAGGACGACCCCAAACTAGATGGAGTGACGACCCATGCGAATGCGCGGAAACTTCATGAATGATTACATATTTGCGTATACATAAGATATAAAAATTTATGCGCAGGAAGTGGAAGCGCCGATTGCCCTTTCTCCGACACCGCCTATCATCGCACCGCTGGCTCTGTCAACCAGCTCTATCCAAGACGAGGAGGCCAGCTTGCCGAGCATCGAACCCACAAAGATTCCCCGACCTGGACTGAGCCAGTCGTTCCGCAGGATGAAGCGACTGCTGTTCTACCGGGAAAGTTCCCCAGGCCTTCGGAGGGCGTCAGCACCCGACACCCTGGATGCATCACCCGAGAAGTATGTATCACACACATAATCACACAGAAGTTTTACCATTTTTCTTAAGCTATTTTATTTATTGTCAATGATCTTCCCACAGTACCTAACACATTGAACCTATAAGATAAACCTGCGCTTTCCAGACTATGCGCTCAAACACTCCAACCTCTAAGTTAATTAACCGCGCAATTATATAGGTTCGAAAACCTATGTAGGTGTGCTTTCAATAATAAAAGATCTAAAACTCTCAACAAGACTACGAAGCAGTAATGAAAATAGTTTTGAATGCTAATCATAAAATGTTTTACGAAACACCATAGAAAAAATATAGATTATGCAAAGAAGCCATCAAGTCTACCGTGCCTGTACTTGAAGTGTAAAAGGCAAGACTAAGCAAATATCGATTATCTTTTGTATTTAGCTTTCAATAATGGGAAGCGCCGTTAAACTTTAATGAAGTTGTCAGTTATTATAATATGCATCCTATCTCCTTAAGTCGCCGTTTACGACAGGCATATACAGGGGATACCTTAGCCCTATTCTATGAGCCTGGGACTACAGGGCTGATCCTGTCTGGAACCTAATACGAGAACAATATAATGAAGATATTGTTTCTTGTGCATGCCGCGTAGCAGACTGTGTACCCTTTTTATATCCGTTACACGGGCGCCTTACTGTTTTAATATAGTTGTAGGTTTTAGTTTAGTTAGTGAAGCAGATGCTTATTATATATGCACGGCATTTTTTTTGGTCAAACATACAGAGCCGGAAGGAATAATAAATGCGGCCACAAATATGCGCATGACTGTAATGCGGTGTATTAGATTTCCATGTAAACATCGGCTAATATTGAACAGATCACCCCGCGCGCAGTTAGCTGACGACAAAAAGACGGTGAACTTCCCAGAGAATCTGCTCTCGCTGCCGCAGAGGCTTGAGAACATGATAGCTGAGCAGCAGAGGCGGTTGGACAGGGCGGTGATCGACACGTCGGGGCGGACTCCACCTCGCTCCTCTCAATCCCTACCCCAACTGGCCACAGAAACGGACCGGCACCAACCTGAAGTGCACCGCGGGTGAGCTAGCACCGACGAGTCAGCACGATTGAGAAATAGAAGGAAAACAAGGACCACTCGATAAACCTTTGAAGTGGAAAAAAATCCAATTAATCAACCTAGTGGTACCTTTCTTAACCAGCCTTTGTCATTCGAATATGCAGTCGATTCATTACCCGCTATTCACTACCATCCTGTCATAGCTATTTATATGTGCTGTCGCTATTGCTATCGAGTACAATGTGTACGTTTCAAATAGAAATATTCGAAACGTCTAAATTTCAAAGTATAATAATTATTTTTTCGAAAGAAAGGATCAACAGCGTTTGGTCAGTTTTACACATGGCGAATGTTATCGCTTTACATGGGGGAGTCTTCAACATAGGCTCTTGATAGGTAGACTAACGATAGAAGTGCTTTTGTCCCCCTCGCCAATGCACTCGTTGTGGTGAGACGCAGGCGACGCGGCACCGCGGCCGAACTGCAGGGCCAAATGCCCTGGGCGTACATTCCGGCGTCAGCCCACCGCATGCGGGACCAGTTGCCGAGCGACGAGGACCTACCGCCGGTCCCGCTGCCCGATTACAACGCGATACCGTCATTTAGGAAAGCCTGTGAGTGAAAGTTGTTAAGACGTAGGAAACATGTGGGGTCTCGCAAGGTCCCCTTCTCTTTCCAGCACTTAGCCTATACGGCACAGCAGTATACGATAAATCTTCCCACTTGCATGCAAGCGTGATAAATTTGTTTGTAAACAGGCAAGTATTAACGTAAGTTTGAGTAAAGGTTATTCGATAAAGAAAATGCCATGGGAAGCTGGGGTGATGTGGAAAAGATTTTTTTTAAGAGATGCTTTGGTGCAATATCGGTATGAATCTGGGGCTACGTAGAGTTTTGAGACGTAAGGAAAAAGACTATTTCCTTGCATAGTGGTGAGCGCCTATGCGTAATGTAAGCAACGTGCATTAGATGAATAAAGTATTCATCATAACAATAGGAGATCGTAAAGAATATTCTGACCTGACCAATAATCTGTCCGATTGTACTCAACGTTTAGAATGTGACATTTTGAGATTGTCACAAGTATCTTGTGTTTCTAAGCGTTCTATCATGCCACTTTGTAAATGTGACGTCCATACCATTTTATGTGCCTGTCTGCTACTATCACATCAGCAGCTATCATTTGAAAGAATATATTTAAATAATATTAACGGCATCTTAACAACTAGTTCCGTATAGCACATAAGTATTTCTAAACTGTTAATTCAGATTTATCTTCCTCTAAAGTGCTATTGTAATATCAATTAATATAATACATTATGACATTTTTTCAATGTTAAATGATTGTCGAAGGTTTCGACTTTGGCCACTAGATTTTACTATTATACAGGGAGGCTTTTTTAAGCGTATCCATTTTTATTATTAAAATAAACACATAAATAATGTAAAACGACAAATATTTAAAATCACTCGTAATTGATTAATTACATTCATTTGAACTTATCTTAAAAAGTGCGTGATTTATTGGGCCACTCATTTGTTTTAGGCGCGATCATTCATAACTAACACGCACACAAGTTCGTTTCAAAAGTATCGACTCATTTATGAATGACTACCGCATTGTCAACAAGTTCGGTTTTCTAGGGAATAGAATTGGATTTTTATGGAAAAAAAGGTTTGTTTTTATTTCAATAAACGATTATACTACCAAGTCGGAACCTCCTGTGTGAATTTGGCCACCTTTAGAAAAGCCACCCTGTATTGCAAATAAAAAAATATGTATTAATAGGCGAAACGGTAAACTGAGGGGCTACTGTTTCGTCTGTTATATATCTTATCTTCTATAGCCGTGCATCGAGCTGCGTCGAGCCTAAGTTCCTTGACGCAGAAAAGGGAATACCTAGCAGCCGCGGCGGCGGCGATGGCGCGTCGTAAGTGTTAGTTATCAGCTCATCATTAGATTATTCTTTTATTTTTTGATGGCAAAAAGTAGCAAGCGAGCTGCCGGTTCACCTGACGTTAAGTGCCGCCCACGGACATTTGCAACAACCGTAGGGTGGCAGATGCGTTGACGAAACGCAGAATTATAACTCTGCCACTTCACGCCGGACTTCTATTAGGTTGTGGTAATTCCACGGGCAGACCTAATCGTGCTTGTCCCAACCGCCGGTGATCGCTTAGCATCCTTTCCCACTTAAAAAAATCATGATCGTGACCGTCACATGATATAGTTTTGTTTGCCAATATCTTGAAATGGTCATAAAGAAAAACTAAAAGGCATTATATTGGTTTTCTCAAGTGTTTCAGAGCCACCTTACTCGTGGCTGAGTTCACGTTGACGAGTTGACGCTCTCAGCGTTGAAATTAAATCTCATTGTGAACATAATTTTAATCAGGAAATTGTTTCAAATATCCTCCACAGTCGCTGCCAATCCACCTGTCAGATTCGTAAAATATTTCATTATTTCAGACAGCTCATATAAATAAATAATCTTATTGGAATTATGTCAAATGAAAACAATTTTAGCATGTAATCTTAATAGAATCCGAAAATACAATGAGTCGAAACAAAGAGCATTGAATATCGCGCTATATTTAGAAATATTTCCGAGCAGCCAGACGACAGTGATTCGAAATAAGAATGTTGAGCCTTCACCAGAAAATATAAATTTTAACTCTGCAATAGAAAGTAATAGATCGTCCATCAACGTTTCTCACTCCATTTTGTTTCATTCATTTTCATCAAGTTCATTTAATTTCTCTTGCAGCGCCACTCACGCAGTCGGACGTTCTGTACTAAGGGAGTTCTCTATCTCATTGTCTAGATTATTTAGTCGACGCCCTCGATAGGTAAGCTTTAATTAATTCGCGTTCAATGCAACCTGACAAGGAGATTATATCGGATTCACTAATTATCCCTACTAATGAACAAAATTAAAGCAATAAGTAAACTGAACCCGTGCACCGTTGTAGAACTTTCTTCGATTTTCTACTCGGTATCAGTATTTAGTGATCCTTTGTAAAAGTGTAGTAGAAAATTAAAGATGTCAATGATTAGAATTCGTCTTCAACAATGTCAATCTTCTTTAACATTTCGACAAAAGTAAACAGTAAAAAAGCTTTACGAAATCCAGATAAAATTTGAACACACATCTGTAATAACTGTGTACACTTATCTGAAAACAGTATACCGTATTAAAAAAGCACATGTCAATTTGTACTGCTTGTTCAGAAAACTAATTAACTTCCCTGCACGTGCTGGGCCAGGTTGCATTGTCCGAAATTAAATGAAACAAGGCAAGGCCATCGAATTTATTACATTGCTTTCGCATTTCAAGCTAGGGTTGAGATTGCATTAAGCAGTTTGCCGGGGATGATGGGGATGATATCAATTAACCAATTCCATTATGGCGCATTACGCTTTCGAGTCAAGCGTCCGCGAATTGGCTTAAATAGGTATCTGTCGGTACACAAAACTGGGAAGTTCACCATTCACATTGATACCTTTTTGATATATTGTAACGCGTTTAGAAGTATCCATAAACTATTGTCCCATGTACGCATTAACTGTTAATGTGTGCTTTTATATTAAAGCATAGCATTTGCGTGCGTGGGAGAGATCAGGGTATAATTACTATCTTAGTTGAATAATTATGGTATGTAATAGGTTATTTCTATTTCTTTTTGTATTCTGTCTCAATGATGTTTTTTAAGATCAATACACGATTACTGTAAGCGATGGTTGTTTTATTTCTGGATGATTTTTTTGTCTTTTTTAATAATAATAATATTTTATTTGAAAATAACGTAAAAAAAGAGGAAAATAAATATGAACCAAAAAGTAATAAATTAAAAGTATAATACACAAAAAATCTAATATATATAATTCTCGTGTCACGGCGTTTGTAATTGAACTCGTCCGAAACGGCTCGACCGATTTTCGTGAAATTTTGGGTGCTTATCGGCCAGGGTGGAGAATCGGACAAAATCTATTTTTCATCCCCCTAAATGTTAAGGATGTTACACCCCAAACATTTTTTCTACCCTACAAATAATTTACATGGCAACACAGCGTTCGCCGGGTCAGCTAGTATAATATAAATAACATTTTGGCAAAAAGGTAAGTAAGCTCAACGATTTCTGACAACTTTTCTGTTCTGATTTTCAGCTTATCCCTTACTGAAGCTTTACATAATCATTTACAAAGATTGACAGCCGCAGTTGGCATATTTTGTTCAGCTAGACTAAGTTACATTATTAAGGACTTTAATTTATTAACCTAAAATCGTGTTCATAATACTAATTTATTTAGATTCGTGTCAAGCTTTCGTGTATCTAGTATGTATTTTAGCCTCGCAGAAGCTTTGGCAATTTCATGATTGGGTCGAGACGCCCGGAGGTATTCGACGGCCAAACAGGAGACCCGTTTAAAGGGAATGGTGATTAGTTTACACTTGTTCTGGAGAGGCAATTCTGGCTAAAATCGCACGGCTGTTCGAATTTCAAATGGCTCACCACGTTTACCGCATTTCGGTATGCCGTAAACACGTCTTCGCAATGTTATAACCAAATAAATTCACCAGTCATCCGTTTCTTTTAAGGCCAATGAAAATAAGACTTACTAAGGTTTTATTGCAAATGGCGTTTATATACAGATATGCCATTATGTATACGGTCGAGGTCGACTTCTCAAGTTGCCTGTAACATATATCGTTCATTTAATAGAATTTTTTGGGTAATTAGAAAGAAATCGACAGCTAAACTTTTGCTAACGCTAATTGCTTTTAAATGTTACATTGTTACTGTGAAAAGTAAAACAATTCCTTTTTTGTAATTGTGATTTAGACTGTGAATATTTATTGACTTTTGAAGGTATTAAAATGACATAATAAAAAGGATATAAACTAAACTAAATTTGTTGTCACGTCACAAATACGTATAGCTTTTTTCTGTGTGAATAAATTTTACAGGGCGCCGTTTCACCCGGTTCCATTTCATGTCCGTGGATTTATTAAAAATTGCAAGAAATCCATCCAACTGGGATCCGTCTTAAGCGTTTAACCGGGGGAAGCCTCCGTTGCGGGATAGTTTTAGTTGCTCAACGGACACTCGCGTTCACTGCAGCCTCTCAAGGTCCGAGTATATCGAGTACAAGTTCTCCACAACGGAGAACAGGGTCAGCGCGTACAGGAGCACGGCGAAGCGGCGGCTGCCGAGCGCCGGCGCTACGTACTTGTGGGCGAAGTACAGCGTGTACACCTCGGACGGAACGCCCAGGAGGCGGTTGGCGAGGCTCAGGGCGGGCAGGTCCGCCGCGGGCGTCATCCGCACCAGCACCGAGGCGAGCACCAGCGCGCCGGCGACCGCGCACGTGGCCCCACCCCCGCGCCTCGGCGTCACAGCGTCGGCCACCGAGTAGCTGGAGTACAGAAGCGCCCAGGACCTCCACCCCCAGCACGCGATCAGCAGAGCGGTCAGCGCTCCCTCCGGCGATGACATAACATCCCCGCTGCGAGATTTCAGCGCCCTCTTACCCGCTTGCGACGCCAAGGCGTTGCGTCTTAGACATCTCGACACGTTTCGAATGTATGACGACACAGAGTATAGAAGTTTACTCCCCGTTTATTTTGTATCTACCATATCTACTTTTAAAATAACGTCGAGAAATAAACCTTTTACTTCTGAAGTTATTTAAAAAAAATCTGTATCGCCTCCGGAGATCGACACGTGAAACTAATATGATTTATTTATTTATTCAGTATGATCTTAACTCTTACGTCGCAACGTCACACCATCTTGTCACCTGTCATATAAGTCATGTCGAGAAATGTCAATCAAATGATGAAAACTTATAGCGCTCACAAAATTAAAAAAAAAATCTTGTTACAAACGTTCATCGTTGAATGTTCTTCGTGGTGTACGGTGTAACGGATGCACACTAGATGAGGCCAAGCATTGCTAAAACTAAATAGAATAAACGTAGATAAAAATTAAATAGAATAGACCTGTATACGTTTATTCGTATGTTGAGTATTTACGCCGTGAGGTCATAGTGTCCGAGGTCCGTGAGATTTAGCTTAATTGGTCTAAAAAGTCTGGGCAAAACTAGAAGACGCAGGTTCGAATACCGCTGCTCCGAAATATTTTCATCATATATCTAAAAAATTCATAATTAAAAAAAATATATTGAAGTATAAATTCAGAAAGAGAAATAATTGGGGCTTCATACCGCTTCTGTGTAACTCTACCGTACTAATAGCCGTGGCGTGAGAAGTCATCGTCATCGTCATTTCAGCCTGTTTGAGTCCACAGAGGGTCAGCATTGTGCTTCGTGGGCGGAGAATGTGAGAAACCTATATCTACCTGGCATTCCTACAAACAATAATATGATGTACATGTGTGGGTATGTGGCAATAGCACACCGAAACTGAGCCACACAAGTCGCACCAATTCGTCTAATTAGATTGCAATTCTATACACAGCTCTTTCCGTACGTACGTCCTATATCATCTGTTACGTTCACTTGTACATGTCGTATAATGTAAAGCGGGACAACTTTTAAATGCCGCGCAGTATTGACATGCGTCACCCGGTGACACCGTATACATGGAGCTATAGTCAATGATACAATATTTAGCTTTGCGCTTTCATAAAATCAATCAAGCGCCGCTGATTTGCCACCTTTTTCTCACATATATGTTAAAATAAAAAAAAATCAAATGAACAGAACGAACACATTTTAACACAAAGTTCGCTAGATAAATGATAAACATACCTAAGCATACTTCTTTTCGGGAATAAATACATATCATAAATATATGAACGCCAAGACATTCATTCATCACACAATATTTTTCCCGAAGTGACGATCGAACTCACTTCCTCTGACGCAAAAGGCAGTTCACTACCCAAAAGGTCAATAGAGTCGTTACTAACAATAATCACTAAAATATTCGACGATAACTGGAGGGTATGAGTGATTACAACGAGACCGTAAGACGTAAATTAAATCACTAATATATAAATAAATAAATAAGTAATAAATAAACATTTTAGGACACATTTTTGCACAAAATTTTCTAGTCCCAAACTAAGCAACGCTTGTACTGTAGGTACTAGAAAACTGATAAACAATATATTATACTATAATACATCTATTACTTGACGTATATAACTTTTAAAATTAATCACTCCGTTCTTTTAATTTCTAACTAGAACTCGGTAATTACACAAATAAAAAATAAAAAAAATATCTCATAAATTTGCTTTGTGTCTAATATCGTTTAAAGTTTCCATCGTGTTTTAAACAACACTACTAAAGGTGGATAAAATGAAAAATCGACCAAGTGCAAGTCGGACTCTCACATGAAGGATTCCGTACGATTATCTACAAAAACGGGAAAGAAATCATGTCTGTTGTATAGGAAGCACTTTAATATGTTTTTATTCAATTTTGTTGTATTTCTTGCTATAGCTGAAATAGAAATACATCATCTGTGAAAATCTCAACTGTCACAGGACAGACAGACAGAGAAGTCTTAGTAATAGGGTCGCGGTTTCCCCTTTGGATACGGAACCCTAAAAGCATAATATTGCAGTACCCTTTTTTGTTGCTCCCAGCTAATTTAATAAAGCTGAAGCTGCAAGTGCAAGTTAACTGAACTTAATCGTCAAAAGTTTCTTAAGATAATTAAATTGTACTCGCTAGTAATTTCACATTGCTTGCATGTACATGTTTAAGGGCCAAGTAATAAATAGAAAAATTGTTATAATATTCAATAAATGCCAATGGATAGATAATGTCATAAATACTGTAAAAATAATCAAGTTCACCGAGCTTTATAAAAAATATCAGTTGTGGGCGAAGGCTTAAAATTGTGTTTTTTTTTTAAATTATTTTACTGTTAATACACATTATTGTTATATAATCTGAATGGTAAGTAAAGATGAATGTAAAGATATTTAAAGGAGAATTTGCTGACTTCTTAAATAGAAACTAGCGACTCGCCCCGCTTGGAACGGGTGCAATGCTGTTTGTTTTCGACATCGCATTAGGGGACGGGTGCAATGCTGTTTGTTTTCGACATCTCTAAAATTATCAGTGTTTCTCTACTATATTATGCATGTATTATACATATAAACCTTCCTCTTGAATCACTCTATATATTAAAGAAAACCACTTCAAAATCCGTTGCGTAGTTTTAAAGATCTTTGCATATTATAATATATGGACAGACATGTAGTTAACGGCTCGTACTTAAACGTAACAAAAATCGAATAAGTACGACCTCAGCTTTTAAATTAATCGGACTTATGATTTTTCAATACAAAATAAAGTAACGGATAATGTGATGGCGTTTTAGGTGAACAGTTTTTTCTCGTCAACCACATTTTTCGAATTATCTGGAATGTTTTTAAATGTCTTATGCACCCACGTTAATTAAGAAAAAGTACCATAGCAATATTCATCACTACCAGACAATATTGTGTATAAATGTGCCCGTGACTTCGTCCGCGTGGAATTTTAAATAAAAAAATCTTAAATTAAAGTAGCCTAACTTACTCCTTATTACATCAGCTATCTGCCAGTCAAGGTCCCGAACAAATCGGTCCAGCCGTTTCAGAAATTAGCCGGAACAAACAGACAGACTGACAGACAAAAATTGTAAAAAATGTTATTTTGGTATATGTAGCGTGTATACATCTATATGTATTTAGTAAAAAGCGGTTATTTTAATATTACAAACAGACACTCCAAATTTATTTATCTGTATGTATGTATAGATGATGTTCTAACCTAACAAAGCCCGCCGATTCATCGCTTATTTATTCCATACCATCCATCCTTCTACAGACTAACTCACTCGGAGATTTTCATATCTGTCCCTAGGTAGCAAAATGTCATTATAACATGGAACGGACATGATCTACCCAATGCAGAAATCGTAGGGCTTTAAACTATTTTCGGTGACTTATGCTGGGTTCCTATATTCAACGAACGGCCGTTAGTTACATAGCTTCGTAACTTTCATAATGATTTGTAGAGGAAATGCATGTACGCCCGGTTTCCTATATTAACAAAACGAGGCGTTGTAATACCGGGCATTATTTAAAACGTCGACGACGTCTCCCCGTGAAATCGCTCGCACATTTCCAATTCCGTCACTCGAACCGTCTTAAGATGCTTCCACTACGAAACGTTGCTAATCTAGTCTTACCGTAATAATTAATCTCAGGATTTCTGTTCGCCTATGCTAATTGGCTTATTGACGTCGCAGTACAATCGTTGGCATGTCCCTTTGTGCTCCTTTACATATAAAGCGAGTATTCGTCGATGGATCACTGCCTTTGCCGCACCGCTTTGACTATTTTAATTAACTCGCACGACAATAGCGAGGGTTCTCGTGTGTCTGCCCCGTGCAGTATTATTGGCGGACTGGCGGGAAGCCACCGTAATTTTTTGCAGCTCAAAAATTCTCCGCTTCCGAAAACAACTACGCCAAGCATCGACTGAGAGCCCGTTTGATGCGACTGTACTACATTCTTTCCAAGTGTACGTTTTTAGAATCTAAAAATTATATCAGAATCGGAGTCGAACTGGGTAATATGTAGGGAACGGCTTTTCCATCGCACAAAATGTAGCCTTCCTAACAAAGCACTAATTAGTACTAACGAACCCAATGAGTTGTGATGTGTTATTGACTCCCTCGGTCAGGTATGCATGATAGAAACCGCAGAGCTTCGGCTAATATTCCGATACATAAATGTTTACCATAGTCCGACTGTTTACAGTAATGCACACGCAATATTAAATTAACGTTAACTCAATTTCAACGGTAGGAGTGAAGTGGTCGTTTCGATAATTGATGGCAGTTATATTTTATAACAGCAGGGAATAGCCCTGGCGATATTAAAAATTATTTAAGCCGATTGGCAGGCGCCCGTCAGCTTTGTGAATGTTAGGGATGAGACAATATTTTGAACTTAAAAGTTTCGATACCGGACATTGCCAATTGACGTTGCCAGCCGATGTGTCCACAGTATCAGAGTATATCGCAGCGTTTCTGGCATTAGTGAAGGCTCATTTAAGCTTTTTGCGCGCGTCGAAATCGGACCTAAGGCGATGTAGAGTTTTCCCTTTATCATTCAATTTTCGGAACGTTGCACACACACCGCACTGAGATCAAAACTATGTCGCCAATTTTCAGTGACAAAAAGTTCAATTTTCAGTGACAAAAAGTTCAATTTTCAGTGACAAAAAGACAAAAAGACCGACAGGCGAGTTACACGATCGCCTGCCGCCAAATTAATCAAAAATCAATATGGCTTCCGTACGTGCACCAATACGTTTAAATTCACTACTGTAATTATGATTCATATAGTTCCAGACAGATAGGCATAAATGTCTGCTGTCAGTTATGAGAAAGTTCGTATTTACAACTAAATGAAGGGTTGCAGGTGTTGAGATTGGCACTTTCATATTTGTCACAAAATTATTTTCATTAATTATTATCATTCCTCAATAGTGACCCCTATTACTAATGTTCCCATTGGTTTCGATCAGACCTCTGGTAAAAGGCCCATATACGAGTCCAAAGTTCCAAATCTTGCTGTCCCAAATTATTATATAATTAAATATTCTATGTGCCTCTTGTGACGAAAATTCTTTGGAAACATTAGGCTATATGTTCTCAAACATAAGCATAATATATCCATATAAAAAAGTAAGTAACCTAAAGTAAAAAAATATGCAACTTCCGAACAAAGGCTTCCTCTGTACAGAAGGTATAAACACCACCAAGCAACACCACCGTACATATATTTGAATTTTTTTTTGTCATTATTTCGAAATATTCAGGATTTCTTAGTGTTTCACTTCACCATTGAGCACGTGATGAATGAGGTCTTAAAGTTTTTTTTAATTATCAATTTCATTGATGCCGACATCGAGATTTGAATTCGGATTGCTCGAGCATAATTAATCAAAAGCTGGCGCGCGTACGCCGAACTATGTTCATATTTACATGTGGACATGTTATTTACACACATTCAAAGGAAACTCAATATAGTTTAAACACATAATAAATCCTAGACAAGTTCGCTACGAGGAAACGGTCTAGCTTCGGTAAACAATCCCGAAGCAACATTTGAAGTGCTCTTTTGACGTATTTCTCGTTACTTGTATACGCTTCGCATCTGATCTGTATTTCTGCGGACGGCCCCTTAGTAACGATGGGGAGATATATGTATTTATATCAAGAGTCGAGTGCCTTCTCCCCTTGTAAGATGACATTCTTGTTTTGTTATGATTCAATGCCCACTTGAGCGCATCGAAACCTACCACTTTCAATATTCGGGAACGAGGCAATCGTGCAGGCAGCTTCGTATATCAGCGTGACCTGTGGACATCATTTACAATGACCGTGGGGGCAGAGCGTACACAAATTATAAGGTTTTATTATTCCGGTCTTCTTTTTCTTATTAGATTAGGTGGCTAAGAAATGACCACCGTTTGACATTAGCCACACCAGTAGGGTTGCCGATGCGTTGCCCCCTTATACTTAAATGCGCCCCGGGTACCTCACTCACCGGACGAAACGTAGAAATGTAAAACTTCCACTCTCGCCAGTCTTCTGCGAGGTCGTCACACTTAACCGGACGGACCTGCCCATTCGTGCAACATCCAAGACTCAGATAGAGGTCGGAATAAGGAAGTACATAATGTCCTAAATCTAATACGCAAGTTCACTTATTCTGCCTCTTTTGAAGGCGTACAAATATTA